CTTCACATGGAGGAAAGGAGAACACACAGAAAAACAATGGTGATTTTAATAAACTACCAAATATTGTGAAGTTATATCAAGAAAATGTCATGAGGAAAGTCTTGGGCCAAAATTTAATGGCAGCTCTGAGTAATAAAATGAATTGATTTGTTTAGTTCTTTGTTTCTAAATTTCATGAAGTATTGTTTATGTTCTTTTTTATTATGGTAAAAAGAATATGTCATGGAATTTACCATTGCAGTCATTTTGAAGTGTGTAATTCAGTGGCCTTAGGAGTATTCAGTATTGTTTAGCCATCAGTATTAATCTTATCTCTAGGACTTTCAAATCCTCCTGCCACTCTCAGCTCCCAATAACCTTTATTCCACTTTTTCTTATGAGTTTGTCTGCATCATGCTGAATAAGTCAGACACCTAAGGCCACTTGTATATTTGGCCCTTGATGTCCTGCTTGTTTCACCAAGCTTAATGTTTTCAAGATTCATCAAACTGGCAGAGCTCAGAATTTTATTCTAACACTGATTACTATTCCATTTTGGGAGTAGCTGTGGTTTGTCTTTTGTTGCTAGACTTTTCAAGCTTGGACTATGGTGAGTAAGCTCTATTTTTATCAATACTGATGTGTAGGTATCTATCTTAGTCCCTGTTTCTAGCTGTTTTGCATTCATCCCAGCAATAGATCTTGTGGGTCATACGGATTCCTGTGTTCATCCTTTCGAGGACTCTTAAGCCGTCATACAGCAGCTACATCATTTTACATTCCAGCAGCAATGCATGAGAGTTCTAGTCTCTTCATCTTGTCAACATTTGTCATTGTCCTTGTTTTGTTACAGACATGATGATGAATATGAAGTGGATTTGTTATTTTTTTTAAAGATTTTATTTATTTATTATGTATACAACATTCTGCTTCCATGTATCCCTGAACTCCAGAAGAGGGCACCAGATCTCATTACAGATGGCTGTGAGCCACCATGTGGTTGCTGGGAATTGAACTCAGGACCTCTGGAAGAGCAGCCAGTGCTCTTAACCTCTGAGCCATCTCTCCAGCCCAGGATTTGTTATTTTTAACATCAGAAAAAGCTAATGAATGGTTAACAGCAACCAAGAATGAAGTGTTAATCTGTGTTTGGGTATTGACAATTGGAATGTAGCCCTTTGCAAGCTTCTGCCCCTCCTAGTCTCTTGTAAGACAATTTTTACTACTTTTTTTTTTAGTTTTAGTTTTGTTTTCCAAGATTTTTACATTAATTTAGTTTTCAAAAACATTGTCTTAAAATACTATATATCCTAATTTATTATTATTATTATTATTATTATTATTATTATTATTATTATCTTGTGCCAAAGCTAGGCCCCTGACTTCTTCAGTCAGTCTAGCTGGGTCTTGCAGCTCTTTATAAACTGGAAACATGAACATTGCTAGCAGGGCTCAGCTTGTGCCTGAGGCTTCTGTAGGCCAGATCCATGGGATTAATACCCACACACATTTCTATCCTATCTTTCAAAAAAGAACCTGTGGGCAGTGTGCAGGACAGGACAGGACAGGACAGTCTAGTACTCCATAACACTAAGAAATCGCTTAGGATTTTTTAAATTGTTTAAATTTACCAAGGGTAAGGCACATGCTTACCCTTGCACACCCTTCCTGCACTTAATACATTTAGACACTGAATATTTCATTATTTTTTTTAGCTTAATTATATCAGATGCAGGACGAGTAAAGACGACTCTCTGGTTTTAGAATGTGATTGGACTGTAGGGGCCTGGGAGGTTTCCTTTCTGTTCTCTGACTTTCCACTGGAATAAGCTGACAAAAAGTTAGGAAAGTGCACAGGGGAGAATACCAGCATCTCAGTGTGGGACCCAGTCCCAGGGATATGGTTGCCTACTATTCTGGCTCTGTTCTGAGGCTTATACACTTTGCTGACAGCAGAGGGGAGTGGAGTGGAAGGTTGTGGACTCTTTGAGGAGTCGTGAACTGTTTCTGGGCAAATGAGACAGATGCTGCCTTTGGATCTTGAATGAGGCCAAAGGGGTGCATACTGTCCTGTAATGGAAATCTGTCCAGGTATGGTTAGACTTCTTCTGCCTTTTCCCAAAGACCTGGGATTTTGTTCCCTTTTGCAATCAGTTCTGAATACAGGTAAAGTTCCAGAGGCTCTTCCTTCTTGTGTGTAGGCAGACAATAAGCAAGTGGGGACCATCACAGAAAACCACACTGGACAAAATGCAGAGATTAATGTATCATGGGGAGCCCCACCCCCATGGATACATCTACATCACAGTTCCTACAACATCAGGGAGCATCTAGAAGAGGTGGCAGAAAGATTTTAAGAGCCATAATGGTAGGAAGTGTGCGGTGGAACAGTCATAGAGAGGACTGCATAAACAAGACCTGGACAATGGCATGCCAATGAGGAAGGGGGAGTCTTCTGGGTTCATTCCCAACCCGGGACAAAGCAACTGATGACTACTGAAAGGGAGAATTCTCACATCCCAGGGATGATCCCCCTAATCAGTTATCCAATACAAAATAGTCAGTCTTGAAGCCATATACACACAAACAGCATAACTGGGTGGGCTCAGCAGGTTGCATTTATAGATCTGTGCATATATAATATGTAATAATCAGAAGAGGCTAATCATCTGAGAGTGAGGGGAAAATGGAAGGAATGGTTGGGAAGGGACTTGAGAGGAGCTGGAAGGATGAAAAGGAGGGGGAAAGTGACATTTTCATTTAAAATATTTTTTTAAATCCTTCCATTGAATGTCATACCAAAAAAACTGCTACACAGCATTTTTCAAGAATCATTTTCTAAGCCCCAGAATAATCTGAAGGGAACCTGTCAACCCAAGGTGGTACAATCCTGCCAGTTATTTTGGTCATGTGGTCATGATGAACCGCAACTGGATACAGCAAGAGCCTAGTAACAATCACCGTCTTTGGATGTTTTGTTACTGCTGTTGTTTTTGTTTTGAGACAGGGTACCATGTAGCCTAGGCTATCTTGAACTTGCTGTATAGCTGAGAATGACCTTAAAGGCTGACCTCTTGCCTTCACCTGTCAAGGGCTGAAATTTTTAAACAAGGCTGGCCAAACAGGACTTTAGAGTGGGGGTTGATGATGCCGAGATGAGCCAAGTGACTCAGGTGGCTGTTTTGGGTCATGCATCCCAAAACAGTTTGCCTAAAGTTTGCCTTTTAGTTTGCCTAAAGATGGAGTTCATATTGACATCTCTCAGTCAAGGCTATATGGTGAGGTCCCAATCAAAACTCTTGATATGGAAGTGCAGGTGAATTTCCTTGGTTGGATGGTAATACAGCCAGCCGGGGCTCCTCTCTCAGGAGAACAAAACAGAAGAGTTCAAAGATAGGAGCTCACTGCCAGATTCTAGCTGTCCAGGCCCAGTTCATCATGATCACATGACCAAAGTTATCTGGCAGAATGATACCTTAGGTTGGCAGGTTCCCTATGTAGTCTTTGAGTCTCAATGACATTCCAAGGGAAGCTAACTACAGCAGTATGCCCAGCCAGTGACTACAATAGCAGCTTTGTGTTCGAGCCCTCCAGACTCTGCCTTGTGCTGTTCTGGGTGGATGCTAATCTGTGTCCTGACCCTGTGATAAACATAACCACAAGTGTAACAGCTTTCTGGAGCTCTGGAGACTGATCAGTACTCTTCTCTTCACCAGAAGAGTTTGGGGCCCTTCAACTTGCAACTACTTTTAGAGTCCAGGGGATTGTGTCCTCAAAGGTATCAGCTTAATACTGGGCACAAAGATCATTGAGAAAAAAATGATCAAAAATATGCACCTTACCAAAAAAAAAATAAATAAAAAAAAACCAGTGATGTGTCCATCGGAAAGGTTTTAATAATACAGAGGATAAGAAGAGTGGAGGGTGGGAAAGTGAAACTCATGGCTGAGTGAATGTGCCATTGTGTACCTCCTTAAGAAAACAGCTTGCTTAAGCACATTTGCGTGAGAGCAAGCAATTGACCTGGGTCTAAGCACAAAAGAAAGACACACACACACACACACACACACACACACACACACACACACGTGTGTGTATGTGAAATTACACATTGCTGTAGATGTTACTAAATTTATTCAGTGAGTGTGATGGTGGTAGTGAATGCCACAGCACACTAGTGGAGGCCAGAGGATAACCTCCAGGAGTCACTTCTCTAATGTGGGCCCCAGAGTATCTATCCAGTACACACCTTCAGGCTTGACAGCAAGAGCCCTTACCTGTTGAGCCATCTATCCAGCCCAGTAACATTGTTTTGGTTTTTTGTTTGGGGGGTTAGGGGTGTACAAAAGGTGATAAATGAGAAAAATAAAATGTGATCTGACCCACAGTAGGATACTATCGGCAGTAAAAAGAAATTAAATACTGTTAGACATAACATGGAAAAATCTTTAAAACATCACACTAAGTCAAAGAAGCCACCACAACAAACGGCATATTATTAGAACTCCATCTGTATGAATAGATGAACCGGAGACAGGTTTGCCTAGGACTGGGTACCATTTAAAAGAAAGCGGGGTGTGACTGCTAATGACTACAGGAGTTCTGTGAAGGGCGACAAATTGATTGTGGCGATTGTTAGACACTCTTTATACTAAAACCACTTTAAATCGGTGAATTATATGTGCTGGTACTCGAATTAAATCTATGCCACAACAGCTCGTTTTTGATTGCATCTGCCTAGATCACAATTCCCAGTCAGGGGGCAACAGCCGTGCCCATTTTCTAAGTGCGCCAGGAATATACGAACCGGAACTTAGGACTTTAGAGTGGAATCGCGGGACTCTGGCATGGAACAAGATCCGGAGATCCGAAAGCCACCGTTTGCAAACCTCCCACGACGTTGGCGGGAGGGCCCTCCGTACCCGAGCAGAGCCTGCGCGGCCGAGCCCGGACGCTGGGGGGCGCGGACCCAGAAGCCAGTCAGAGGGAGGAGGCCGCCCCGCCCCGGCTCCTCCTCTTCCCCTCGTCGCCGTCCCGCCCTCGCCCGCAAACCCAAACACTCCGGGTGCTGGTGCTCGTGATCTCCCTGTGGTCGCTCGGCGGAGAGATGCTGCTGCTGGCCGCCGCCGGCCTCGTGGCCTTCGTGCTGCTTCTTTATATGGTGTCGCCGCTCATCAGCCCCAAGCCCCTGGCGCTGCCCGGCGCGCACGTAGTGGTGAGTGGCCTCCTGTTGCTGAGCTTGCCCGGGGCTGCTTGGCCGGCTTGGGCCACCGAGGCCACGGTCCCGGGAAGGGACGGTTGAGTGGGAAGGGCCACCTGCCGCCGTTGCCCCGGCACTGCCCTGCCCCTCCTGGCCTCAGGAACCCTCCCTCGGCGGTGCCAGGCTCCTCCCTGAACTGCTGAGCAGTGTCACAGCGAAGCCGCCAGCCGACTTCCCGGGGTTTCAGGGCTCTGTGCTGCTTGCTCATCCGTGGAGCATCCCTGGTTACGGCTGTTTGGGTCTTCAGTTTTCCCAATGAGCCAGTCAACAGACTGAGAAACTTTGCCAAGGACACAGCGGTCGGTGGCTGGCAGGATGAGGGCGCGAACCCGAGTGGGAGCAGCCACTGCCAGGAGTCCTAAAGAGACCGCAGCAAGGAAGGGTCCGGGCTTTGGTGACTGGTTCAGGCAGCTGAGACTGGAGGGTGGCATGTGCAGGTGACAAAGAGCCAGAGGGTTCTAGGAATGGACACACCTGAGAGGTGGCCTGGCAGATTGGGCCAGCAGACTTGACTCTAAGCTCAGCTGGAGCCTTGCTGATTGCTGCTCCAGTGCAATCCTTTACCATCTTTCCGGAAGAATGAGCTAACCAGCTTGGTTTAGGGCCTTAAGATGGGAGGAGGTATTTGTGGTTTGGTTTGTTTCTAGGCGGAAGCTCCCACGTTCCTAATGTGCAGGCTTAGTTAAGTCTCATCCCCTTATTCAGAGCTTCAGCCCTGGCCATTTCAAGTGCATGTCTTGTATGGACCTCAGATCCCGAGGCACACCGAAGCAAGGAGTTGTGAATAAGGACAGCTAGTTTCTAAGTTGGCAGCATGCATCCCCTGAGTGCCCTGAATGTATCCAAGTGAGTTCACACTCAGCTGATAGAGTGACTATTTTAGTGTGTTTTATCCCATACAAGGATTTGTGGATGACAACATGTGTTTCCAATAATTTGTCCTTTGTAAAAATTATTGGTTTATTCCCAGCTGCTGCTATGCATGATATGGAAGGAGTTATTAGAAAGAGAAAGCCAAACTTTACAGTCATGCGAAGTTTTGAAAGTATTAAATTCACAAGAGAACTTCAAAATCAAGGCTTAAAATGTTGAATTTAAGGGATGGGGGAATGGCTCAGTTAGTACAGTGCTTGCTGGCACATCAGGTCCTGAGTTAAGAGTTCCCAACACCCTCAAGGACACTGGGCCTTTGTCTGTAACCCTAGCATCAAAAGGTCTCAACACTGGGGTTAAGACCTGTGGATCCCCGGAGGTCACTACCAACTTTCCTATACACATGAGTGAGTTCCAGGTTCAATGAGAAGCCTTGTCTCAAAAAATTAAGGTGGAAGGCAAGTGAAGAAACATCAGACATTGACCTTTGGCCTCTGTACAGTTGCACCTGCATACACACAAAACTGAATTATTTCACAACTTGTGTTTGCAAACAGTAGCTCAGCTAGGGGTACGGGGAGGAGAGCCAAAGTCAGAATGATAATTTTGATCCAACATTTTCGAGGTACTTTCCGATAACTTTGATATTGTCCTTCTGTCCCCATGCCCCATCACCCTCACAGGTGAGATAAGAAATGTCTATAGAGACAATAATTCTTATTTAGCATCCTATTTTAATACAACAAATTATATATATAATTATCTTTTGTGTGCATATATGTGTATCACTATAGCTGATGTGACATGGCATGAATTACGCATATGATGTCACCATCTGTCTTTTTAATATCCCAAGAAGAGTAAAGTGTGACTTAATTGAGATCTGTTATCAGGAGAGGACCTGTTACTCTGTTCACCTGTGTGTCAGCATGAGCAAATTGTAATTGTTTTCTGCTTCACTTTAGGGCAGTTTCCAAATGCCAATCGATGCCCTCTGATTGCAGCCTGTCTTCTCACCCCTAGGTGCTTGTTTCAGAGTTCCCATTTTTTTGGATGACTGAGACTAGTGCTTCCAGTAGCAGGCAGGCACAAAGTGCCCATAGTGAGAGCTATATGCTGTGGTTAGAGAGATGGGATTATTCAAATGGTATTTACAGTGATCAGTAAGAGGGAATGTAAGGAAGGGAAATTACAAGTCACCTTTCATGCCCTCCACCCGGCCTCTATTTAGTAAACGTTAGACGACTGTACATTTAACATTTTCTCAGCCATTGTGAAAACCCTGATAGCTCTCATAACATCCAGAATAAAACAGTCCAGAATTAGCCTAACTATATTCTTACATGTCACTCAAGAAGTAGCTGGCTTGGCTAGAACATCATTTTTATACACCCGTATCCAAAAGCCAGGTCTTAACTTCTGTTATAGAAAGCTTATAACTTGCAGGGTATGGATCTTCCGGTTTTCTTTTAAGTGAATTGATGCCATTTGCTTTCCTGAAACTCCTGGCTGATATTTACATAATATTTAGAGGATAAACCTTTTCTTGGTTAGTTCATTTCCACTTCCATCAGTTTACTGAACAATAAATAGGAACTTTTTTGTTTGTTTGTTTTGTTTGTTTGTGTATTTTTTGTTTTTCAAGACAGGGTTTCTTTGTGTAGCCCTGGCTGGCTGGAACTAGCTTTGTAGACGAGGCTGACCTTCAGCTAACAGAGATCCCCCACCCCCACCCCGCCTCTGCCTCCCAAGTGCTGGGAGTATAGATGTGCACCACCAACGCCCGGTGGGAAATTTTATTTATAAGCTTTGGCATATTTTTCCACAGGAATGGCATTAGACAACATTTCTGCAAATGGAGGAACATATTTATTTATTGCCTGCTTGTATGAGGGGCTGGTAGTGTCAGTGATGAATGAGATGGACTGGTTTGCTATTTACTCACTAGGCTCTGATAGCCCAGCCGGGAAGCCAAGACGATCCCAAAAGCTGTGAAAGGCCCATGGCGTGCTCAGGAAGAGCTTCCCTGAGGTGGGAACATTTGAGCTGCATTCTACAGGGCTGCTAAGCAGCTAAGGCAGCATTGTAAAGCTTGTGAGGACATTTTAGAGAGCCCACCTAGTGCCATGAAGAGTGAAATTTAGTAAACCAAAACACCTCATAAAATATCCAGGTATCAAAAGCCTCCTCAGACACAATACTTAGTCAAGGCAATGGGTATTTTTTTTTTATAATAATCTCAGTAGACATTTGATTAATTGTCTACCAAGTAAATCTCACGGTTAGAATGAAGGTGAGGCTAAAGAGGTATTCTCAAGTACACAGAGGTACATATCTATGCTTGGAGGGTTTCATGATAATATGAACATTATAATGTGGGAGATGTTCTTTCTGCATAGTTTTAGAATAGTAAAATATTCATAGTCATCCAAATGTATCACTATGGAAAATGGCTAGGTTTTGACAGAAGTGGTTTTTGTTATCTTATGTTTTTGAGACAGGTGTCATACAGCCCTGCAGTCATGGAACTCACTACATAACCCAGAATGGCTTGAATTCAGAGAGATCTGCCTTGCCTCTGCTTCCAGAGGGCTAGGATTAAAGGCATGTGGCACCACTGCTTTGCCTGGCCTTGATAGAGCTTTTTAAATGCAGTATTGTGAAGCCTTTTAGTCTTTCAACATTGACAATATAACATGCATGCATGTATATATCTTCTTTAGGATCAAAACCAGGGCCTTGCCAGTGTTAGGCAAGAGAGCTCTACCACCGACCTTGGCCCTGTATTATCCTTAGCCCTGTAACATGTTTTCTTAGACCCAGTCTTGTGTAGATGTGCAGTAAGGAAATGAGATTCGATTGTATTTATAATCAGCAGCACTAATGTATTCTTTCTTAGCTAGAGATGTAGGGCGTGTTCCCCTTGGTGACCTTAAACAGATGTACAGTTTGTAGCTCAACCATGAAAACAGCCAAAGCAGGAGGCCCTACTGTAGTGCAGTCCTTTCGTGCTTGCACTATTCCAAGTGATACATCTGCTATGAAGAGCTTTTATGTTTTGTTTTGTTTTGTTTCTGAGACAGGGCCTCATGTAGTCCTGGTTTCATAAAAAACTGTCCACGAGAATGGCTTTGACCTTAAACTCCTGATCACCTGCAGATACTCTGCTCTGTGCCAGGCTTGTGGACGAGTGCCACCACACCTGACTAGTAGAAGAGTTTTTAAAACCCATTGTTGTTGTTGGTTTTATTGCTCTTTGGGCTCTTTGTTCTTTTGGGGACCCACCACCCAGCTCCCAGATAAAACACACATAGAGGCTTATTCTTAGTATAAATATCCCGACTTAGCTTGGTTTATTTTGGCTAGCTTTTCTTATCTTAATTTATCCTGTCTGTCTTTTGCTCCTGGCCTTTTATCTTTATTTCTGTGTATCTTTACTTCTTTCTCTGTGGTTTGCTGTGTAACTGGGTGGCTGGCCCTTAATGTCCTCTCCTTGCTCCTTCTTGCTCTTTATTTTCTCATTTCTCCTCCTGTCCTCTCTGCCTACCAGCCCCGACTAGCCTGTCTCCTGCCTCCCTATTGCCCGTTTAGCTCTTTATTAGACCATGAGGTGTTTTAGACAGGCAAAGAATCACAGCTTCACAGAGTTAAACAAGTGCAACAGAAAAGAGTGCAACACATCTTTACATCATTAAACAAATGTCCCATAGCATAAACAAATGCAACACACCTTAAAATAATTTCCCACAGCAACCCATAATTATGTTATATGGAGATCAAACCCAGGGCCTCATGAATACCAGGCAAGTGCCTGCAACTGAGCTACACCTCTGCTACTCCCATCGCAACTGTTTTAAGTAGACTTTGTACAGAGGATATTGCAGGTGCTAAGATGCTCTTACTGGTATTCTTTGTAGGTCACAGGAGGGTCCAGTGGCATCGGAAAGTGCGTTGCTATCGAGTGCTTTAAACAAGGAGCATTTATAACTCTGGTTGCACGAAATGAGGTAAGTGTTCTAGGGTCCTTATGACAAACAAACTAATGCAGTAAGACCAAGAGACTGTCTTGGTGTTCACACCTGTGTTGGAACACCACCTTCTTCCCTGATCTGGACTAATAAACTGTGGGTTCTTTCTTGTATTGAGGCCAAGGACTTCTCTGCGGAAGTTGGATCAACTCAGTAGGTACTTATTTACTGCTGTTAACATGCCAGGCACTATCATTCTAGATACTACCAAACTTGAGGGGAGAGTAAAGGCATTGTTAAGAAGCACACCTGGTTGAAGGCAAACAGATGTGCTGACGGTGGCATCTTAGAAGCCAATGCAACCACCCTTGGTGTGTAGGTGTTTATCTGTCGTTTTTCTCTGTAATTTGCTTATCACTTGATAGGCATCTTTGGTGGAGTCCACATTCCCCAGAAGAGTTTCATCCCTCCCAATATGTGTAGCAATGTAGTTTTTCCTGAGTCTAACCAATTCAGGGGACTGATTTTCTTTATATTGGGGGTCTGTAGTCTTGCCAAAGTTGCTTTCAGAGCAAAAAGCAGTGACTAAAACCCTTTTGTTTTTCTTCGGGGACTAGGGCAGTGGCTCAATGGTCACTGCTCTTATCTATAAAGGATAAGGCTTGTTTGGCTTATAACAGACCTAGACAGTTCTGTTGAACAATGAAATGAAAGAGGAGGGGATTGGCATGAGTGCTTCCCTGGGGTGTGAGTCAACTCCAGGTAGAACTTAGCATGAAGTGTATGCCTGTAACCCCAGCACCAGGGAGATAAAGGCAGAAGGATCAGAAGTTCAAAGTCACCGGCCAGCTATACAGCCATTTAGAGGCCAGCCTGGCCTACATGAGACCCTGTCTTTAAGGAGAGGGAAGAGAAAGGGAAAATAAGGTGTAGTACCACTTCGTAGGCAATTAGCTGCCTAGGTAGGAGTGGTTAGTTGGAAAGGCCTAGTGGGGAAGGCAAGCCAGAAAGGATCTCTGGAGAAAACATAAAAATAATGACCCAGAATCAGTCTAAAGTATCCGTTTCTTTTTAAAAACAAGAAAATGGCTGGGCATGGTGATACACACTTTAAAATCATCTAGCACGAATGGAAACATGGATGCAGTAAAACGCCACTTGATGACTATTTTAGCAAAGCTAGAATTTGACATGAGAGCCATGAGTGAGCAGGTGGGGGTCTGGTGTCGGAGCTAGCAGGAGCTCACTTGGGGTCATATTTGACTGATATACAGAGAGATTTCTGGCCTGAAGACATGCTTTAGTTTTATGCCCAACCTTTCCTTGCAGCCTTGGCAAAGTCAGATACTGTGTGTGTGTGCCTGTCTGTATTCAATCCCCAGCACTCAATAGGAATGTATGATTTTGTCATAGACATTCATGTTTATAAACTCCACTTGTCCCTTGAAGATACTTGTCTTTGATGAGACGAAGTCTCTTGTATCACAGACTAGCAGATGATAGCCCACCTCTACCTCCTATGTAACTCCAAGCATGGTTTTAGCTTTGCTGGGGATTGAACCCAGCGCTTCAGGACCCTTCTCCTTTGTTCTTTTACAGCTCTCAAGTTATGTTTAAATCTATGACAAATTATGCTTCTCTAAGCTTGGATCTGTTTGAGAATAACAAAACAAAATGGAGGAGGACTTAGAAAAACTTTGCAATTATCTGGGTAGCTCTGTAGGTTTGAGGAGTAGTTTTGAAAGTACCCAGCTGTGTATTTATCCAGTCCTTCTAAAAACTGATGGCTTTTCACCCGTTTTTAATAGGAAATGAGGAAAATACTGATGCTATCTTACATAAGCCCTCTTGGTGTGCAATCACACACCCTTAACTGTCCAGAACATTGTGTTTACTCTGTGTCATGGCTAACTACCGGAAGACGTGTCACTGTGTCACAGCTCAATACTGGCAGATTAAAATGACTGTTAGCATCAATAGGCTGACACAAGTACTGTTAATAGGGATTTGAGGTTCATTTATTTTTCTTTTATCTCTGTGATGAATTTAAAGACATACTGTGACTTATCCATAGCCTCCCATATTTGGCCTCTTTCTTTCTCAAGCTCTTAGTTAGCTACTCTAGCTTCTGTCTTATAGAATGAAGTATCTGTCCAAACAGCTGCTTTCTATTTCTTTTTTAGCAAATACAGACAGACATTTTTTTCTTTTCCTGTATTGCTTTTTAGGACAAGCTGCTGCAGGCGAAGAAAGAAATTGAAAAACATTCTATTAATGATAAACAGGTAAGGTGGAGCCTTTTTTCTATCCCAAGTGACTGTGTCTAAAGGGGAGAAAGGATGTTTCTCCTGCAAGTAGATCACTGAGGGCATTTATGACTTTCCCAATTAAAATACATTTTAGGCTGCCTTATAAAAGGTGAAATTGTTTGAAATGACTAGGATTCGAGTCAGTACAGAAACCAAAAGGTATAGACTTCCATATATACCTAAAAATGGCCAACCAGTGGTGTTTGAAAAACTGATTTCATTTCAGTTATTTAAAAAAACAAACAAAAAACTTAGGTGGAAAGAACATATGAAAAGAATTAGTTGTGTAATTTGGGGTACCAAAATGATATACAGTGCAATGTATATTTTAATGTACAGCTCAATGGCAGGAAAACTACTGCACATACGTCATCTAGTTTAAAGAAATGGGATGTGATGGAGTTTCTGACCCCATGTCCCCAAGCCTCATGCCCAATACCAGCCTCTTGTTCCTAGAGGCCACCTCAAACTTGGCTCTGATGTTCATTCTTTGTTCTTCTTTAAAATTTTACCATCTGTGGTAGTGTGTGTGTATCCCCAATAGTATTTTGTGTGGGTGTATGCATACACATGTGTGTTTATCTGTACTGACATGCACTCACTCATGTGCACACATTTGTGGAAGCCACACATGGACACTGAATGTCTTTCTTAATCTCTCTCCGTCTTGTGTTTTTGAGATAGGGTCTTTTGGAGAGGCTGGAGCTCATGAATTCACTAGACTTGCTAGCCAGCAAGCCCCCCTTGATTGTCTCTACATCCCCAGTACTGAGACTGCACAGGGACTGGGGATCCAAAACTCAGGGTCGTCGGACTCTTGCATAACTAGAATTTTGCCAACTAGCCATCTCAGCCCCTAAGTAGCATGCATAAGTATGTATGCATGTATGTTTGTGTATCTATATCCATTTATATTTTAAACGTTTGTATCTGTTTGAACCTTAGCATTGTTGTTATTTTCTTGACCTGCTTCATGAGACCATTCCCTCAGTGTGCAGTTGCTCTATTGAAGACATACATTTCCTGGGTGTTCCTACAGAGTTGTGTAACCATAACCACAGTCAGTTTTGGAATGTTCCCAACACTGAAGTCTCCATGCTGCCATTAGCAGTCACTCCCCATTCCTGTCCTACCCCTCCTAGTCCTAACAAGTACCAATAAACTTTATAGTTTGATAGAGTGATGTGACATTGTGACATTTTTTTGCAGTGTTAAGCAACTTATTTCTTCGGTCTATATTATTTTTTTAAAACTTACCCGTGCTGCTGAATAAAATAGTTCATGTGTTATCTTCTTTTTTGAGATGGTTCTTCCTATGGCTGTGCTGTCCAGGTTAGGCTCAAATCCCAAGGCTCAAATGATTCTCCTGTCTCCACCCTCCTAACTAGATGTGACGATAGGCATGCATGATTATACTCACTTCACTAAAATTTGTTGACATATAATATGTAGCTGTATTCACACTCCACTTTTACTTATCTGTTCTGTACTTGATGGCTATTTAAGTTGCTTCCACATTTTTGTATTTGTTTGTTGCTGTTGTGGCAGCTTTTCAGAATGGTCTCTCTTGTTTTGTTTTGTTTTGGTCTCTTTGTATGTATGCTAAAAAATGACTGTTGCTTTGGGGCCTATGACAAGGCAAAATAAAAAAAGTTGCTCATCTCTTAATGGCTGGGAAATGGGGCAGGGGGTGAGGGGCTCCATATCTTCTACCCTTCAAGGGTACACCTCAGTGGCCTAAATTCTTTCTTTTAGGCCCTGCCTTTTAAAGGTTTTACCACCTGCCAATAGCACCACAGACCAAGTCTTTAACATGGCACCAGGGATACAAATGTAGTGCCAGAATTTCTAAATGACTACCTGTTCGCTGTGTCACCCATCGCCATGTCCCTTGTCACAACTCCATACCAGCATATTATTTTGTGGGTGTATTCTTTCATTAATTACACTGACAGCAGATTTCAAATACTGAGATTTTATGTCCAAATTTGGCCTTCGTTATTGGAAAGAGTTGGCTTTAATTTTTTTTTAAATAATCTCTTACAAATGGTTTTGATAGAACAAGCATTTTGGTGTGCATTTGTATTTTTGTAATCTCAGTATTTGGAAGGCTGAAACAGGAGGACCGCTGTGAGCCCCAAGCTGTCCTGGACTATATACTAAGTTCAAGACTAGCTCAGACTATGTAGCCAGACCCTGTCTCAAAAAAAACACTAGTCTTGACACCTGCATCTCCAATATTATTTTTTACATTTTGTGTGTGTGTGTATGTGCATGTGTGCGCACGAGAGAGAGAGAGAGAGAGAGAGAGAGAGAGAGAGAGAGAACTCAAAGATCTCAAAGATGTCAGTCCTCTCCTCCACCATGTGGGTCCCAGGGATAGAACTCAGGTCATCAGGCTTGGTGACAGGCGCCCTCACCCGATGAACCGCCTTGCAGGCCCTGACCCCTCCCCCCTTTTCCTTCTTTTTAACAGGTGGTGCTTTGTATCTCAGTCGATGTGTCTCAAGACTATAACCAAGTGGAGAATGTCATAAAGCAGGTAAGAGGTGGATCGGTGACCTCAGTTCACTGACTTTTGATCTCTTCTTGCCATCTTGCTGTGTGGCTTAGAGTTGGCAGCTCTTTCTATAGGTTCAGTGGATTTTATTTGTTGACTTTGTCTTTCTGCACTGTGAGTCTTCCATTCTGCCATGCAATGTCTGGAACAGTATGTAATGTTTGGAACTATTCTTCCAGGCACAAGAGAAGCTGGGTCCTGTGGACATGCTGGTCAACTGTGCGGGGACGTCTCTGTCAGGAAAGTTTGAAGAACTTGAAGTTAGTGCTTTTGAGGTAAATGACAGGTGTTTGCTCACCTGAAGTCAAGGCGATGTCTCTTCTGTTTTAAAATGGGCCCACCAAGAATCTCAACTACTAATTTACTTAAGTACTGAATGGACTTGAAATCTAAGTGCAAAGCATATGTGGTTGGCAATACATCAGTCTTGTTTTCAGTGGTCTCCTCAGCTTCCATCAGGGTAAAAGGTTTAAAAGCTTGACTCTGTGAAGTTAAATTGCTCTCCATTCTTGTAGAAAACGAGCCTGCTGTTTTCAGAGCTGTGTTTTCACAGGCTATAGGAAGCACCACGAACTCGAGGCTTCCTGGAGAAACGTAGGGTAGCAGAAATCAGAATAGTAGGACCTGCGGGTCTGAGGTGCTGTTACCAGCTTGGCATACAAGCCGGCATACAGGATGACGTACAGTCATCTGGGAATAATGGGGAGAGATTTGAAAGATAATGTCAACAGCTGTGCCTAAATATGAAGTAATAAAGCAAAAGACTTGGCGGTAGCCAGAAAAAGTGAAATGGGTGTGGGGGTATGCATATACCTGTGTGTTTATCTGATTTGTGAGTATGTGTGTGTGCATGTCTAAGATGATGCCATAAAGAATACTCAGACTCTACTGATAATGGGGATAAGGACTGGATTGAGGGGGGCGAGAGAGAGTGAGTGCTCAGTGGTTAAGAGCACTGGCTACTCTTCCAGGAGACCCAGGTTCAATGCCCAGCACCCACAGGGCAGCTCACAACTGTCTGTAACTCCAGGTCCAGGGGATCTGCCACCCCTTACACCAACATTCATAAAAACATTAAATAAATTATTGTAAAAGGAAAGACTAGATTGAGGAATAAATGGTTACTAAACTGAATGCTGAGACCCCAGGAAATAAGGTGTGTGTAGAGGAGCAGGAGGAATGTGCATGCCAGCATAATCACTGGTGTGTCATGAAGCTTTGAATAAAAATAGAGGCAACTAAGTGTGTAAATCTAGGTGCGTGTGTGATGGTGTCACTGAAGCGGAGACACAACTCATTGCTGGCATGATTCAGTGGCCCCAGTTGGCTTCTTTGGGTGACATTGCTGAGATTGTACCCACTTCGTTCTGGCCTTTTCTCTGCTCTTTTCCCTCTGCGATTCTGCTGTAACCCTTTCCTGTAGGAAAGCCTCTACCACTATATGCTGAGGACTTTGGGGCCTGCTAGTGAATGACCAAGCCTGGGATGGTCCCCAGGACCCCATCACCGCCTTTTCATTCTCTTTCTAATGGCTTTCCTCTCCATTTCCTTATCTTTACCTGTGCTGTGAATGTTGAATCATCTTTTGGTCTACCAGAATCGCTCTCTCCTAGTGTATGTGTTTGTTTCTTTGGAGAGCCTGGTGTTGTGTTTTGTGTTGGAGGTTTTACTTGGATGTCAGCTAACCCTTGCCTGTGTTTTCACATTGTACTGAATGGAAAGTTGTGTGTCCATGAGTAGAGCCCTCTGAAGGGGTGATGGTTTGGGCCATGTCTTAGTGGATGTTTCAGGGTCAGTATCTGTAGGTCTTCCAGGCTGCTGCTTAGGAAATGCCTGCATGCCCCAGTATTAGAGTGGCATCTGCATTCAGTGTCTAGACAGACGTTCTAGGTAAGTTGAGGTCTCGCCCACTTAACATATGCCAGTCCTTCCTAGAAATTCTGTCTTCTGCCAGGCAGGATACTACTAAGATCTAACTGTTTTTTTTTTCTTTTTTTTGTTGTTGTTGTCATGTCAGTTTTTAAAAAGTGAACTGAAAGTCTTACAAAATAAAATGAGGTGTGTGTGTGTTTGAGACGCCATATCTCTATGCACACCAGGCTGGCCTCAGTTATTAGCTATTTTAGAGTGAACAATTCTAAGGCATTTAGCATATTGTGATGTGTAGCCATCTAATTCCAAAACATTTTGTCTCCCTAAAGAATACTCTGTACTTAGTCAGGTATTTCTCATTGTCCTAAACACTTATTCTAGTCCCTGGCTACCACAAATCTGTGTCTGTCTTACTGATTAATAGAATCATGTGATCTTCTCATGTGTCTGGCCTCTTTCACATAGCTGAACAATCTTAAGCTCCCTTCATGCTGTAGTGTACATCAGTGCTTCATTTGCTTTTCTGGGTTGGTAATGGTCCCATTGTGTGGACATACTGCAATGTGTTTGTCTGTTTATCATCAGTGGATATTTGGACTCTTTTTACCTGATGCAGCTCCATCCCACAAGTTCCTGGTGTCATTTGAGACTTTGGGGTTGTGTTGTACAATCCTGCCTTTTAGTTTCTCTGTTGCCATTCAACATTCAGTTTCTATGTCTTGCCAAGTGTGTTACACTTGTCACTCTGTTCTCTCACTTTCAAAAAGTTGTTGCTTTTCCTTTCATTTTTATTTTCTTCTCCTATTGGGGAAGGGGCCAGGGCTCTTAGCTAGACATAGTGGTTCATACCTATAAGCCCAGCTCTTGGGAAGCTGAGACAGGAGAATAAGCATGTGTTTGAGGCCAGCCTGGTCTATGAAGTGAATTTCAGGCTAGCCTGAGTAACAATGTGAGACCATGTCTTCAAAACAGACAGACAAATAAACATACTCTTACTGGTGTTTTAGTGAGTTCTCTAAAAAAGAGCTGAGGTGAGCACAGGGTCTTATTCTTCCTCAGTTTTTGAGGTGTCTTACTCCTAAAACAGTATAATGTGGGGCAGGAGGGTTGCTGAGTGGTTAGAGTGCTTGCTGCTCTTGCAGAGGACCCAGGTTCAGTTCCCAGCACCCACCTGATTGCTCACAACCGCAACACCAGTGCCAAGGGATCCAGTGCCTACCAAGCACACACATATATGCATACAAGGCACTCATATACATAAAATAAAAGTAAGTTTTAAAAATCAAAACAATACAGTGATATTAAAGCATATTCTGGGAAAAAAGCAGGATTTTTTTTTCTGTTTTTCTTGGCTTTTGGAAAATAAAATAGCAAGGATTACAGTCTACATATCTCCTGCCTTCTACTTTTTAAAAACTTAAGAGCATAAATCATTCCCCCTCCTGTGTTTCCAGTCCTCATTTCCTAACATTCCTTAATACTCTGCCACATTGTCATGGTGGTTTATGTTTAGATCTCCAATTGGGCTGTTTAGTTTTGCAAGATGACAGAGGAAGTCTTTCATTGTATAACGGGGTTCCTGTGAGCATCCTCAGGCTTCAAATTGAGCGAAGGTTTTAAGAGTTCTAGCGATGAGAAGCTGAGTGCCAATATGGGCTGTTACCCTTCCCGGTGTACCAGCCAGTGTATACTGAGTTCTTACTGTGCACCAGGATCTGTGCTAGTGCTTAGCTTGTGTTTCCCTCTTAATCCCTGGAGCACCCTGAAGTAATTCCAAGATTAACCCCATTTTCATCTGAGAAAATGGGCAGTCTCTTTTTCTCATGAAGTCAGTAGCAGGGCTGCACCAAGGCTTCAGCTCACCAAGGCAGTTACTTGATGCCTTTTTCTCATCTTTATCTTTGCTTAGCTTGGAACTAATAGGCCAGACATATTTAGAAGCTATCTCCTAAAGCTGACTTTTAAGAACGATTACTTACAAGGACCTAGAAGGAAAGTTTAGGGGTTATGAGTATTTGCTACTCTGCCAGAGGACCTCGGTTTGGTTCCCAGCATTTTACACTTGTCTTTAATTCCAGCTACAGTAGATCCAGGGCCCCATTCTGGCCTCTGTGGGCACTGCACACACGTGGTATACAGACATAGTTGGAGACAAAATACCCGTACCTAAAAATATTGCAATAAAACATTACCTACAGTATACAATGTACCTTTTCTTTTTTTTTTGTTAGATTATTTATTTATTTATTTATTTTATTATACAACATTCTGCTTCCATGTATATCTCCACACCAGAAGAGGGCACCAGATCTCATTACGGGTGGTTGGCAGCCACCATGTGGTTGCTGGGAATTGAACTCAGGACCTCTGGAAGAACAGCCGGTACTCTTAACCTCTGAGCCATCTCTCCAGCCCACAATGTACCTTTTCTAAGGAGAAAACTGATGTTGACCATTTGTGTTTGTGCATGGTGAGGGCAGAGGTTGATGTTGACAGTCCTCCTCTGTCCCTCTCTACCTCACATCACTCTCTCACTGAACCTGGAGTTCACCATTGTGGCTACACCGGCTGGGACTGTCCAGCAAGCCTCTGCACCAGATCTTCCTATCTCTGCCCTCTTCCTCCCAGTGCTTGGGTTATTGATGCCCAGAAGATCTTTTGTGACAGTGCTGGGGATCCAAACTCAAGTCCTCATGTTTGCACAGCAAGCACTTTCCTAACTGAACCCTGGGCTCAGCCCTAAATTTTTCATCAAAGATAGAACTTCTGTCACTGTGAGAATGGAAGACGAGATCAAACCAGTCTTCAGAGGGTAGGTCCTAAGTGTCGTATATCATCTGCCGCATCATTCATGTATTCATTTATTCAGCAAATCTGCTGCACCCCCTCTCCCAGTCTCTTGGGCTTGTCTTAATTATTGTTCTATTGCTGTGAAGAGACACCATGACCAAAGCAACTCTTACAAAGGAGAGCATTTAACTGGGGCTGGTTTACAGTTCAGAGATTTAGTCCGTTATCATCATGGTGGGAGGCAGACAAGTGTATAGTGCTAGAGCAGTAGCTGACAGCAGAGACAGACAGACAGACAGACAGACAGACAGACAGACAGACAGAGGGCCTGGTGCAGACTTTTAAAATCTCAAAGAAACACATCTCCTCCAACAATGCCACACCTCCTAATCCTTCCAAACTGTTCATCAACTAGGAATCAAGCCTACAGATAGAAGAGTCTATGGGGGACATTCTCATTCAAACCAACTCGGGTCTCTATTAAAAAGAAATTAATCCTGAAAAGAGACAAAACTACCCATGAGCATGGCTTAGGCTTTTAACCTCATTCCTGCCTCATGTGGCCTCTTTGTTCCTTGCAGAAATTAATGAGCATAAATTACCTGGGCAGCGTGTACCCCAGCAGGGCAGTGATCACCACCATGAAGGAGCGACGGGTGGGCAGAATCGTGTTCGTGTCCTCTCAGGCAGGACAGTTGGGGCTGTTCGGTTTCACAGCCTATTCTTCATCCAAGTTTGCCATAAGAGGATTGGCAGAAGCTCTGCAGATGGAGGTAATCGTTGTATTTGTTGATATTTCTCCCTCTCAGATCAGCAGTGTGAGCTGTAGTTTTCTAGCTTCTTTGCCTGCATTATTTGCATGCACTCAAAGATTTGTAAATCTGATACCTGTGTAAAGAAAACTAATTCTGTTGTAAGTTCTTATTGCATAAAACTTATAGCCAGGACAGAGGTAAAATGACTCTGAGGGCGGGGAGTCGTCTGCTGTGTATAGTATTTGAGATGCCTTCCTGGTGCTGGCGGGCTTCTGCTTAAGTGAGCCAGGGATGCCATTAGATAGACAGCTTTCTTAAGGAACCATCCTGGGCTAAAGAGCTGGCTCAATGGGTAGAATGCTTGGTATACGGTATGAGTACCGTGTACATGCTGGATGAATGTGGCAGCCTGCCTGTGATTCCTATGCTTACTGTGAAAACAGGACACCTAAAGCAAGCTGCTTAGTCAGTAGAGCATGTATGGCTGTGAAATTGCAAGAGAAGATACTGGAGTTCTTTTGCAGCTATCACTCTTTTTTTTTTTTTTTTTTTTTATTTTACAAACTAACCCCAGTTCTCACTCCTTCCCATTCTCCTGTCTCCCTATCCCCCGACACATACACAGAGACACTTAAGAGGGATAAGGCTTCCTTTGGGGAGTCAGCAAAGTCTGGCATACCAAGTTGAGACAGGACCAAGCCCCTCCCTCCTATATCAAGGCTGAGCAGGGTATCCCACCTCAGGGAATGGGCTCCAAAAAACCAGGACCTGGGATAGGTCCTGGTGCCACTGCCAGGGCCCCCTGTTACGATAAATCTTTCTGCCAAAGCCGCCTGAACCCTACCGCCACATGGGCAGTCTCTGCGAGCCACCCGAGTTCTGCCTGCTGTGTCGCGTGGATGGACAAAATAATACAGAGACATATTAGGTACAAAGCTGCTTGGCCAATGACTAGGATTTCTCATCTGTTAGCTCAGTCTTAATTATCATAAATCTATATATTTTATAAGACTTATCTTATAGAGGATGCCTTCTGCTGGCACCCTCTCTTGCCGGTGAATCACATTGCGCCGCTGGAGGAAGAGCGGAGGGGAAAAGGGACACTTCCTGTTTCTCCTTGCTTAAATATGAGTCTCCTTGCTATGTCACTTCCTGCTTGGATCACCACTTCTCTACTACATTTCCCTGAATCCTCTTTAACTCCTAGTCCTGTCTAACTTGCTGCCTCATTGGCCAAACAGAACTTTATTCAACAATCAATACGATAAACATACACAGAAGTACCTCCCCCATCAGCTCCCCCCAAAAGATCAAGCCACATAACTGACACACACATTCAAAGGGCCTAGTTCAGTCCCATGTAAGTTCCCCAGCTGTCAGTCCATAGTCCATGAGCTCCCACTAGCTTGGGTCAGATATCTCTGTGGTTTTCACCATCATGATCTTGCCCGCCCCCCCTTATTTATGTGATCCCTAATCTCGCTCTTCAACTGAACTCTAGGATCTCAGTCCAGTGCTTGACTGTGGGTCACTGCATCTGCTTCTATCAGTTACTGGATATAGGTTCTATGGTGACAATTAGGGTAGTTACTAAAATCTGATTATAGGGGAAGGCCCATTCAGATACCCTCGCCACTATTGCTAGGAGTTTTAGCTGGGGTCATCCTTGTGGATTTCTGGGAATTTCTCTAGCACTAGGTTTCTTCCTAACCCCATTATGGCTCCCCCTATCAAGATATCTCTTTCATTGCTCTCCCACTTCATCCTTCCCTCAACTCGGCCATTTCGGCCCATCCCCCATCCCCTCCCTTGCACCTCCCCTCCCAGTTTATCCAGGAGACCTTAACTATTTTCCCTTCCTGGGGTGCAACCGTCATTCTTAAGGACTCTGCAAATAACCATTTTCTTTTGTCTTTCTTCTCTCTCTCTCTCTTTCTTTTGTGTGCATGTGTGTGTAATGTGTGCAGTAGGTTTCTTCATGCCACTTTCGGGAAAGGAAATTAAGTTTTGAGTGAAGTCAGTGAATTATTCAGATTCGCATAGTCACTTGGGAACGGGAATAAGAAAGTCAGAACCTGTGACTGCCAGCTTACCGAGGTCCCTTGTAGCAGAGGACATGTCTGTCATCTGGGCAGAAGGCAGTGTGGGCATCTGGCAGCTGTTTCATCTGCTCATTTCAGTTTTGGTATTAGAATCCAAACAGACACAGGAGTTTGGAAGATAAAAGTATATGCCCATTAAGGCTTTCCCCCGTATCTGACAATAAGGTTCACAAATTGAGGGCAAAGTATGTCATCTGAGTGCCCTGGTTTTCACTTCAGAGGAAGCAGTGATACAGTGGCCTGTACAGAGTTCTCTCACCCTCTTGATGGCAAGAGTGACTTTCCACACTGCTGGTCGCTGGCCTGGGCTAAGTCCCCCTGAGTCCTGTGCATTAAAAGTACTATTACTTAAATAAGCAAACAAAAACCATGACATCCAGAAGACTGCTGTTTCATTTGGAGAAAATAAATTCAGTCTTTTGAATCCAATTTGTTCATAGTAAAACTTGTATCAAGCCAAGATTTCCATATAAACTAATATCTGTTTTTTGAAATTTAGATAATTTGGTCAGTTTTTATGAGTAAAACCAGCATAGTTGCTAAAAAGCTTAATTATTTTTGGTTTAGTTAACTTTTTAACCTCTGAGCCATCTCTCCACCCCCCCCACCCGTTTAGTTAACTTTTTAAGTCTTCTATTTACCTCTCTGTTCCCCCAAACTGGAGTAAGACTGGAAGCCTGGGCACAGTGTGTTTAGTTGAATGCTTTGTTGATATTTGTGGTTGGATTTTCTTTTTCAGTCTTTCAGATACACATATATTATTTAAAGATCTTTTTACCAGTTATATTTCTGAAGTGGGTTATAGCCAGAGATGTGTTCAAGATTCAGCCAAAACAACATAACAGCAACCCTCAACCCAGGTGGTTTTGCTACTTTCCCCTCCTGAATATGCACAGGCCCTGCCCCCATCTCTTTCCACCATAGTGGAGCAGTAAGCTATAGGCTAGATCCTCTGCTTTGATGTAAGCAGCTGGGGTCTCCTCTCCACCCCCTATAATCTCAGTTTAATAGAACAGGGAACAGCAGCTCTTAAGTGGAATTGTTTTCTTATTATAAACTGGTTCTTAGGCAAACATCCATTGTCTTACCTGTTGGAGGCTGGTGCCAAGTAGAAGGAAGAAAATGAGGATAAGATGGGAGAGAGGCAGAGCAGAGGGTAGAAAATGGCTGTTCTGTAGGGATAGGGAGAAGCAGAATATCTAGGCAGGATTCAATAAGGTCAGGCATCACACTGTCATAATCCAGAACAAGTGAATGTAAGCTAATCTTTCCTTTTTGGTTGGGTTATAATATTAACAGTGAAAGAAAGAGATGTAGGCATCATTTTGCATGTACTGAGTTTTGCAAATTCTGTGAACAGGAATATCAGTAACTGTGAGGTACAGAAAACTGTCCATTTAGTTCATACTGATTCTTAGGTCTGTGTTAGCACATAGTGGTAATTTAGTAAGAGTGAACAAACCAAGGACTGCATAAGTGTAAACTTGCTCATCATTGGAAGCATCCAGCCATACACTAGCTGAGTAATTGGGCTTGATTGCAGAGACGATGCTAACCCAAAAGGGGACTGATTGGTACCTCTCCATCTTGGTATTTACAGTTCCTCCCCATGAGAGAACAGTTCTAACTACTGATGACCCATTCATGACTTGAGTTTGAGAGACACTACTTCGAAAATCATTTTGATTATCATATAAAACACTACAATCCTTACATACTGCAGGGGGTGTGTAGCAAGCAACACAGATTTGAGAAACTTCTGCTAGTCTTTGTGAGTTGCCTAATTTTCATCTACTCAACTTTTTTTTTTTTTTTTTTTTTGAGCCATTTTTCTCTGCTACCAATACAGGACCAAACAAGACTACTAGAATCAAATGTTTTATTAAGTCCTCACCTCAAAAGCAAGTGTGAGAGAAATCGCTTATCATTGTCACAACTGGCTCACTTACAAGCCTGGTTGGCCTGGCCAAGCCATGAACCCTCTTGACCTGGACACACTGGAATGGAGCCATCTTTCATTCTTGTACCTACTAGGCTGGCTGGCTAGAACCTACTGTTTCTTTTTCTTGAACCATGTAACTCCCCTGAGGCCACACAACTGTATCACTAAGGGAATCTAGGAGATAAAGGACTGGCTCTCCGGTAGGAGGATGGAGCTGTGGAGCACTGTCTGATTTACCATCCTTAAGATTTTCAGCGGCTAGCCTTGTTGCCTCCCCTTACCCCACATGCCTTTGTGAGGACAAAAACATAAGCCAACAGTAAATAAAAAGATCATACAAAGATGAACTCGATGGTCTGAGCTTTTGTATTGCTAATTATCAGGGTAAGAGAACAGGTTACAGGATATTGTTGTTGGACAGTATTTGGGAGGCTGTCCCCTGAAAAGAGGGTCCACTGGGGTTGTTGGAGTGTGTTCATCTGTAGAGAAGTTGAATGAGAAGAGAAAGTAGGGGACAGACAAGCTTTGGAAGAGCCAGAGGGAGGTTGGGATTAGGTGGAATACCTGTAAAGAAAATTGGGGAACCGGGCATGGTGATGCACACCTGTACCCCAAGCATTTGGGGAGCCTTGGCCGAGTGATCAGCAGTTCAGACTAGCCTGAACTCACACAATGAGAGATTTAGTGGCAAAGGGCAGAGGAAAGTTTCTGTATGTAAATACTGGCCAAGGCTGTTTTGCAGGTGCTTCGCTTGGCTGGTCCTTCTTTGGGGATCCACCAGAGGTGAAGATGCTTTCTGGATGGTTGTACAGGGACTTCTCCAGACCTGGATTCTGGCATAGCAGGAAGCAGCCTGAAAGGCGGAAGGACTATAATCTTGTAAATAAGGGTGTAGACTTGCTTCAAATCCCGTAGACACGGGTGTAGACCAGTTCCTGCCTTGAAACTCTACTCAGCTCATGGGTCTGAATGAGTCTGAATGAGCATACTGTCTCTTGTCCACACTGGGCAGCTTCAGCCTTCATCTGCTCAGCAGGCAGGGAGAAACCTTAGTGGGAGGCAGCCAGAGGTGTCCTCAGTACATTTGGTGGCTGTTCATTGATAGTTACCTCATGAGCCTGATGACCACTACCTTCTAAGAGCACAGCTAAGACAAGTTAATGGGATGCATACAAAATGGTCTGTTTACTCAAAGTGCAAACCTTTTTTGTGACCAGGTGAAGCCTTATAATGTGTATGTCACTGTGGCCTACCCACCGGACACTGACACCCCAGGGCTGGCAAAAGAAAACAAAACGAAGGTCAGTACTCCTACATAATGTTAGCCTTCTATGTATGTGTGTGATGTATATTGTGTGTGTGTGTGTGTGTGTGTGTGTGTGTGTGATGTGTTTTCTGTGTGTGTGGGATGTGTGTTCTGTGTAGGATGTATGCAGGATATATGTTGTATGTTGGGATGTGTGTTGCATGTGTGTTGTGTATGTGATGTATATTGTATGTGTGATATGTGTGTGGGATGTGATGTGTGTTATATGTGTTGTGTGTTATATGTGTTATGTGTGATGTATGTATTGTGTGGTGTGTGCATGACATATGTTGTGTGTGCATGATGTGTGTTATATGTGATATATGTGCTATGTGTGATGTGTATTGTATGTGTTATGTTTGTGATGTATTTTGTATGTGATGTGTGTTGTGTGTATACGGTGTGTGGTGTGTGTGCATGTGTACGTGTGATGTGAGCATATTGTGTGCCTGCATAAAGTATGTGTGTTGTGTGACTGTGGGGATTGTGCACGTTTGTGTGTATGTGTGTGATGTGGGTGTATATGGGTTTGTATGGGTTGTTCATGTTTGGGTTTGTGTGTCTGTGTGTGCACTGTGCATATTTATGTGTGAGAGTTGTACATATTTGGGGTTGATGTGTGTGCATATACATACTGTGCATGTTTGGATGTGTGTGTCATATGTATTTGTGTCTATGTCTATGTGTGTGCACTGTGCATTTTTGTGTGTGGGAATTGTGCACGTTTGGATGTCTGTGTGGTGTGTATGTTTGTGTCTCTGTGTGTGTGTGGGATTGTGCATGTTTGTGTGTGTGTTCCCTGTGCATGTTTGCATGTAGAGACTGCATGTTAGGATGTATGTATTGTGTGTGTGCATGTTTGTATATGGGGACTGTGCATGTGTGTGTTGTATGTATGTGTTATGTGTGACCACTGTGCATGTTTATGTGTGGGAATTGTGTATGTGTATGTGCATGCATATTTGCACTGTACATGTTTGTGTGGGAGGGCTGTGCATGTTTGAGTGCACTAGAGAACTACCGTGGGTGTTTCTCCTCAGATGGTGTTCACCTTGGTCTTGAGACAGGGTCTCCCACTATCCTGGAACTGTTAAGTAGGTCGAGCCCAGTGTGCCTTGGGGTCCTCCTATCTCTGCCCTCCCTAGGGCTGGCTTTGCAAGTTTGTGCCATCCAGGGACAAGGCCATCACTTTCTTTCCCCAGCCCCATTCTGCATCTTCAGAGTAACCCCTCCCCTGATTTTTATCCTACTTTAGCTCCGCGCCATTTATTTGTTGGGCCCAGGGTGCTGAGCCAGGATTTGCCCTCCTGGGGTTCTCCAGGCAAAGCTTCCTTTCTTTACTATTTTCGAATTCGTTATAGTTGTCCAGCACTGCCTGTGGGCTTGTCTCTCCCTTCTGATTTTTGTTCCCCAGACAGAGCCATTTCATCCATGTGTTTAAAACCAGTACTTACTTACATACATACATACATACATACATACATACATACATACATACATTCTTACTTTTTGCTGGGAAAGTAATATATAAGCCTCGGATCTACTCCATCCTCCCTGTGTTCTCTGTAATAATGTCAGATTTTTGTGTTTATATGTAACTTTATGAATATTGTTAGAGTCTGATCCTCTCTACACTGACATTTCCTTTCTTGTATATAATTGTTTCATTTTGTGTGCATCTGTGGCTCGTTCACTGGAGAGGACTGAACGTCCTTGGATCTGAACACATGAGGTTTCTGGTACTTTCATTCTGTTTCCTCAAAGCCCCTGCTCCTGGTACTTCCTGACGGGACACAGGCCTCTAGATCAACATTCTCAGCACTCTACCATCCCTTTTCTGTCCCTTTGTTGAACTGTATGTCTTTCACTTTTGTCATTTATCTGTTCATTTTGGTGGCATTTCAATCATTCAAGAGAAAGGCACATGATAGGTGATATTTGTTTAGAATCTGCCTTAACACAAATGCTTCCTTTCTTCCCCTTCCTTTCTTCCTTCCTTCCTTTCATTTATTCATTTGTTCTTTCTCGTGTGTGTGTTTGTGGTTGTTGTATTTGATAGGTTGTTTTATTTGGTACAAATTTCTAAGTTGAAAATGATGGCCCTCAAAGTTTTACAGGCATTTCTCACTGAGTTCTAGCTTCTAGTGTTGCTGTGGGGACCCTGTGATCAAATACCCAAGAAAAGCAACTTGAAGGGGGAGAGGTTTGTTTCCCTTCCTTGTTCATGGTTTCAGAGATATCAGCCCCTCAGGAGAGGGAGAATGGGTGTGCAGAGCAGTCCACCTTACAGGAAGCAGAGAAGAGGGGAGGACAGCAAGGGCCAGGGTGAACTATAGCCTCAGGAACACATTCCTAATGATCCACTTCCTCCAGCTGGGCCCCACCTCTCACCTTTCACCTCCTTCCAATAATGCCATGAGATTATGGATTCCTCAGTGACTGTAGAGCAGCCCTCTATTACATACCCCGCAGTGTGCTCCACCCATCCTGAGGCAGCTCTAGTCCAGTCAGCTGTATTGGTGGTGGTCTTTATCTTTGGACACTCTTCTCCCTTTTTAATCTTTTTAAAATATCATTTGATGTGAAATGTTCTTATTTCGTATGCTAGACACTCATGGAGGGCCTTTATTCTGTCAACTCATGAGCTTTAGTACTGGAACATTTTCGGTAATTTTTCCCATCCAAAATATTTCAAAGCGTTCGTCCTAGAGCTATTGCTCAGGTGTCCTACTTTCTGGTCTGGTTGTCTCCCTTCCTTCTCTTATTCTCATTTTCTTTCTCTTTCAACTTTTTTGTTGAAATTTTTATTTCTACTGATTTTTTTTTAAACACTTATATCTTTCTGTTGTGGAGTTTGTCTTAGCAATATGATCTCTTTCTGTGAAGAACCACCAAGACCAGCATAACTCTTATAAAAGACCATGTAATTGGGGCTTTCTTACAGTTTCATAAGGTTAGTCCATTATCATTATGGCATAAAGGCAGGCATGGTGCAGGAGAAGTAGCTGAGAGCTAAATCCTGATCCCCAAGCAGAGAGACATGGGGCCTGGCACAGGATTTTGAAACCTCAGAGCCCATCCCAGTGAGTCCTTTCTGTTATTCCTGAGGGGTTTCCCTCTGGATGTTGGTCGGTTTTATTTTTGTTTTTTCCATTTTACTCCCCTTTATCTGTTTCTTTACTTCATTGCAATTATAGTTCCAGTCATTCGGCATTGCACTTTGCACATGGGTGATTACATTGAGGGAGACACTGAAAGGCCATTTGTAAACCTCTGGCGCCTCCTCCACCTTCTGCTTTGCCTAGAGATGACAGGGCGTGGCATTCATGTCCTTAGTTCCCTTACATGGACATCTACTCCCTTTTCCTCAGCCTTTCCCCAGTGAGGAATCCCGTGGTCTGCTGCCATCAGGGGAGTTTAAACCCAAACAAAGCAAGAGGTCTGGGGACTCACCATTCCACACCAGAGTTTGCTGAACTGTTCTATTCCAGGGAGGCATCTCCTGTGCTGTGTGGAGGCTGTTAGAGAACTAAGGCTCTGATTTGTATACTGCTGGTTTCCTGCCCTCTATGGGCAGGTGGCTTGGATCTGGTCATTTCAACTTTCATAGCATCTATCTCATGTGGATATACAGGGTATATGTAGTGAGCTCAGGTTATCCTGAGCTGAGTGCAGGCTTGGTTCATCTGGTTCCTCCTCCTTCCCTTTGCCTTGACACATAGCAAAGTGAATGAAGTGGGTCAGAAGAAACCAATCAGAACATGCCACCTCACACTAAGGGTGATTTTAGTTTTAGATAATCATTTTAGTTTTCATTTTCCTCTTACAGTGTATGTGGATCTCTAGAGCATAAAATCAGAATGTTTATGTAGTCTATGTCCTGTTTTTGTTTGCAAAAAAAAAAAAGTTTTTGATAGAGAAACCCTCCCCCATTTTTTAAAAGTCAGCCATTTTTACAATTTCTGTTTTAAAAAAATAAACTGAAAGCAAACCTCCTTGCCTCAGAGATCTGATTAGCACATTTTTAATACTTGCTACATAGTCTTTTAAGTTTGAAGCTAAAACTCAAGAAAAATGGTGATTTCCTTGAGATTTGATTCTGATGTTAAGTTTGTTTGTTTTAAGTTTACCTCTAGTAAAATTTTGGACAGATTTCTGGTGATCTGTGGCCCTGTGGGAGTAATAGGCATCCTTCTAACTCAGTGCATCTTGCATGGCCTCACCTACCTGGTAGTCTGGAAGAGCAAATGATGGCACTATCAAAGGGACCTTTGTCCTCTCAAAATCATTGGGAAAAACTGACTTTTGTGAAGCATTTTGGTTTTCTTTTTTTTTTAATTCTTTAATTACTACTCATATTTACATATTCATCCCCTCCCATCCTCCCATGTTCCCCACCAATCCCCCCCCCATCCCCAAACTCCTCCCCAGGGATAGTGAGGCCCTCCACAGGGGACCTTCAAAGTCCTTCATATCATTCGGGGGAGGGCCTAGGCCCTCCTTGTATCTGGGCTGCAATAGTATACCTCCATAGGGAATGGGCTCCAAAGTCCATTTGTGCTCTAGGGATAAAGACTGGCTCCACTGTTAGAGGTCCCACAGACTGCCTTGGCCTCCTGGCTGACACCCACATTCAGAGGGCCTGGTTCAATCCAATGCTGTTTCCCCAGCTTTATGACTAGGGTCTCCATGCTCTCAGTAGGTCAGGTCAACTGTTTCTGTGGGTTTCTCTAGCACCATCTTGGCTCCTTTGTTCATTCCTCCCTCCTCTCCACAACTGGATTCCAGGAGTATGGTTCAGTGCTTAGCTATTGGTGCCTGTCTCTGCTTGGAACAGCTACTGGATGAAGGCTCTAGGAATGGCAACCAAGGTAGACACCAATCTCATTATAAAGTAAGGACATCAATGGCATCCTCTCCCCCACTGCCTAGATTCTTTGTCTTGGCCCTCCCTGTGGCTCCCCTAACATTTTCCCTGTGCCAGACCTCTCTCCA